GTTAGGGGAGCATATAACAGAGCCAACCACTGTGCACCCCAATGAGTGACAATGAAAATAAATCATGTACAACTGAAGTACGGAGTGATATCTAAAATATGACCAAAAACAGTCATCCCATCACACCCAGCCTATATCTAAAAATGTAAATTTCTTTCCAGGATAGACCTTGTAGCCCAGGAAAGATGGCGGAGACACAAACTCCGCCAGGAGCAGCCCAGATGACTCTCACCTATGATCACCTGACCCTGCTGACAACAGGCCCACTGGGGTTGCAGCGTGCTGAAATAACACTCCCGATTTTACACACTCAGAGACAACTCAGTTCGGTATCTTTCTGGTTGAGAAAATGCTACAGTCTCATATTTGGAAGCTTTCTAAAAAAAAAAACATTATAGAAGTGTGTGGGTGACTCAGTAGGTTAAGCATCTGACTCTTGATTTCTACTCAGGTCATGATCTTACAGTTGGTGGGATTGAGCTTTGCGTCAGGCTCTGCACTGACAATGCGGAGCCTGCTTGGGATTCTCTCTCTCTCCCTCCTCACTGTCCCACCCCCCCTTGAAATAAATAAACTTGAAAAAATTATACACATCTACAAATAAGATAAACTTGCATTTGACTAGCTAAAGGTCCTATACATTTTTGAAAAATTGGCAGTGGGGAGCCTGGGTGGCTCAGCTGGTTAAGCATCGGACTTTGGCTCAGGTCATGATCTCATGGTTCGTGGGTTTCAGCCCCAAGTTGGGCTCTGTGCTGACAGTGTGGAGCCTGCTTCAGATTCTGTGTCATCTTGTCTTTCTGCCTCTCCCCCACGCGTACTCTATCTCTCTCTCTTTCAAAAATAAATAAATAGGGGCGCCTGGGTGGCTCAGTCAGTTAAGTGTCCAACTTCAGCTCAGGTCACGATCTCGCGGTCCGTGAGCTCGAGCCCTGCGTCGGGCTCTGGGCTGATGGCTCAGAGCCTGGAGCCTGCTTCCGATTCTGTGTCTCCCTCTCTCTCTGTCCCTCCCCCATTCATGCTCTGTCTCTCTCTGTCTCAAAAATAAATAAACGTTAAAAAAAAATTTTAAAAATAAATAAATATTTTTAAAATTTTTTTTTAATTGGAAGCTGTGAATTACTGAAGCCCTAACAATCTACCAAGTTTCCCCAAATCAGCATGTTCAAATAAGGCACAGAGGAAGGGTGGAAGGGAGCAAGATAGGCCATATAAGAAATAGAGAAAGAAAATGCATACATTTAATCTTGCTGCACTGAAGCAAATACCTCTTACACAATGTCATATGTATCTTTGAGTCTGGGTAGTACAGTACTCTGTGTTAAGTGCATTTTATGGGGATTTGGAGAGGATTTAGGTAAAGGCTGCCCCAATAAATGATTTACCAGTTCTAATAAAACATCAAGGAATTGTTCAGATTGTATCTCAGACCATTTAAAACACAAGTTTATAGAGGTCTCGGCAGCCCCCATATCCTCAATCCTGGTTTACAAAGAAATGTTTATAGTGGTTAATTATCCCATATTACTTTTTTTTTTAATGGTAGCAATTTCAAAAGAAGGGAGAGATTGAAAGTAAATAAGTAGATATGCCAACCAAAGGAGTTGGGAGATAGAGAGAAGCTTTTTATTCACCTTTTATTCACCATTCAGTAAATATTTACTGATTGTCTGTTACAAACCAGGTATTCAAGAACCAGGGCCTGAAAACCCAGGAGTGACCAGATAAGAAGGGTTCCTTCCTACCTACAGCTTCTGTTTAGTGGAAAAAAAAAAGAAGTAAATAAATGAAATAACTAGAAAATATTAATTTAAACTGTGATAAGTACCTTAAAGAGGAAAACAAAGAGGACACCTGAGGGGCTCAGTAGGCTAAGACTCTGACTCGTGGTTTCCGGTCAGGTCATGATCTCAAAGTTTGTGGGTTCGAGCCACATTGGTCTCTGTGCTGACAGTGTGGAGCCTGCTTGAGATTGTCTCTCTTTCTCTCTCTCTCTCTTTCTCTCTCTCTTTCTCAAAATAAATAAATACACTTAAGAAAAAAAGAGGAAAACAAGGTTATGAGAAAGTAAATAATCAGAAGAGGGGTGGGTACCTCTTTACGTGGGGCACTAAGGAAAGGCCTCACCAGAGAGGTAAACTAGATGCTGGGGCCTGCAGCATCTACAGCTGACCATACTACTAAGAGCTGAGAGAACATTTCAGACAAAGGAAGCATCAAGTGTGAAGTCCATGATGTGATAATGAGCTTGGTATTGAAGAACAGAAAGGAAGACAGATGTGAGAAATGAGACATCATCTGTGTGATCTTGGCCTCTATGTTAACCTCTCAAAAAGACATTTTCCTCAAATTTCACTATTACTAATATTAGTAATATTAGTTGCCTTTATGAAAAATACATTTTAGATTTTTATACGTTTTCTTTCAACTTTCATTATAACCATAGCCTCCTATAGTATAGGTATTATTATTCTGGTTTCATACAGGATAAAATAGTCTCTGAGGGGTGAAGTAAATTGTTTAAGGCTACAAGCAGGGGAAAAACTGGAATTCATACTCAGGTTTATCCATAAAGGCTACACTCTTTCATTTCTTTAATTCGTTTGTTTTGTTCAACAAATATTTGTTGAGCCCGACACTAGGAGCTGTCCACACAGAAATAAATGAAGCAAAATGCGGTAGGTTATGCTTCCAAAGATGGCCACACACTGTCTGCCATCCCAACAATGTCGCCTTTCTGCTCTCACATCAAGAAGTGGAATCTATTCTCCCTCTGCCTGGCCCTGTGACTTGCTTCAACCAATAGGATATGGTGGGAGTCACTGTGTAACTTTGACAGCTTGGCCTTGAGATAATCTACAGTATCCACCTTCTCTGCTTGGAAAGATGCCACTTGAACCCCAGGCACCATGCTGAGAAGAAGCCCAAGCATCAGTGGAGAGAGGCCAGCGTGGAAAAGTGAGGACCTCAGGTGAGAGCAGGAACCATGATCCCAGACACATGGTCCCAAAATGAAGTATTCAAACCAGACCCCAGCTGTCTGAGCTGCCTCAGCTGAAGCCTTAGACATGGCGCAACTGAAGCCTTCTATAATGTGACCCTGACTGAATTCTCAACCTGAAGAATTGCAAACAAGTAAAATGGCTGTTAATGCAAGGCACTAAACCTTCAGAGATTCATCACGCAGCAATAGAAAACCAAAACACCAAAGACCCCCAGCCTGGTGAAAATATAAACATAAAAATATCTTTAAAATAGTGTAAGTGTCATGAGAGAACAACAGAGAAATAATTTACACCAGTGTAGAGCAAGGGTGAAAAAACTTTTGTAAAGAGCTAGATAGGAAATACTCTAGACTTTATGGGTCACAGTGATTTTGCCTCAACTACTCAGTTCTGCCAATGTAGAGAAAAAGAGTCAAAGACCATATGTAACCAAACTGATGTTTCTTGGTTCCAGGTAGACTTTTGTTTGTTTGTTTGTTTTTGTTTTTAACAAAAAACAGATGGAGAACAGAATTTGGCCTTGGAGCTGTACTGGCAAATCCCTAGCATGGACTTACAGTGTTTCTTATATATTATTTTTCTTTCTAGAAGAAGTATTCATATTTCCCATCTTCTGGACTCCTTGGTTCCTGTTCCTGTTTCTTTTTTTTTTTTTAATTTTTTTTCAACGTTTATTTATTTTTGGGACAGAGAGAGACAGAGCATGAACGGGGGAGGGGCAGAGAGAGAGGGAGACACAGAATCGGAAACAGGTTCCAGGCTCTGAGCCATCAGCCCAGAGCCTGACGCGGGGCTCGAACTCACGGACCGCGAGATCGTGACCTGGCTGAAGTCGGACGCTTAACCGACTGCGCCACCCAGGCGCCCCCTTGTTCCTGTTTCTAAAGCAGAGCCCTGCATCTCTTGATTCAGAGAATACTCACAAGCCTGGAGACCACACTTCAGCTGCTTCAGGAAAGCACTGGTGAAAATATTTAAACTTTTTGTTTTCTAAATCCATTTAAGTAATCTCTACACCCAACGTGAGACTCAAACTCACAACCTTGAGATCAAGAGTCACATGTTCCTTTGACTGAGCCAAGCCAGGTACCCCAACTTTTAAATTCAACTAAAACCAGTGGAACTTATTAAAAATGTCACTGGATAAGCAAAATCTGAGCTGATACTATTTTCCTGATGGTGGTTCCAGGATCGGAGAGTAAGGGAACACTCGTTGGAAACTCAGTTATATGGTAGATAATTGCCCATTGGGAAAACCATTCAGGGCATGGATCTTGAGGTGGGCAAGGAAGCAGTAGTTTGGAATGGATGACTTTGAACTCTGTCTCTTCTTGTTTCCTAGGTTACTCTATTTATCATGCTGTCACTTACTGCTGTTCATTCCCCCACCCTTGATGAATCCTGCCAATGCAAAGGTCTATCATCATTACCACTAAGAAGTTCCATTGCTCTTTCTTATAAGTACTTTTTAAAATATTTATTCTATATATGCTTGCATAGGCAGATATACCTGTATATGCACCACCAGGTAAAGAGGGCAATAACTGTCTGCTTGAATCTTAAGTAAACTAAGGTTAAAGCACATATACTTCCTGGCCACCCTCTCAATTCTGTCTACTGATGCAACCCACAACTAACTGTCACCATTTCTCCATGTATTCCTCTCCGCAAGATTTGGCTCAAACTTTTTCTAAGAACGCTTCTCTATTATCAAGCAAACTTAGCCATCAGCTTCTCCATGTGTGTATGTGGCACTTTGTGCCTTTTTTTTTTTAACAGCACTATCACATAACATTGATGTTTTTAAGCATCCATATATTTTATTGGACTATGAGCTTTCCCAAGTCAGGGCATATATCATATAGCCTGTAAATGGCCTGCAATCAATATTTGTTGAATAAATGAATAATAAAAGAATGGGATGAATACAGACATGTTTAATTCAATGAATTTCAATTTGAAAAAAGAAAGACAGGGTAAGCTACTCACCAAACTGAAAATCTGTGTTTCTCCAGTTCCTCCAAGTAAGATACATCCTCTGGATAATCCTCAAGTTCTCCAGTTCTCCAAGCAGCTGATTTTTCCTTCACTGAGTGATTTATCAGGCTTTCTCTCTTATCCATGAAATTAAAGAAATAAAAAAATAAAGTATTTTAGTAGATATCATATAGAAAGCTCACCTGGTTCAGTGACATTTTCCTCAGAATGATTTGTAGAATCATTGATCATATAGAAGCATAATCAGTCATGGTTTTTGCATTGAAATTATTATTGTACATTCCACGTTCTCTCACTAAATCATGTTTCTACTGGAAGACTGTTATGTTCATTTTTTTTGCATTATTTCCCCTGGAGCAGCCTCTACAAATGTTGCTGGAATTAAAAAAATAAATAAATACATACATACATACATACATACAACAACCATGGTCATGGTATTTGTAATAAATCAGGACTATTGGTGGCAAGTAAAGAAAATGCAGTTTAAGCTAACTTTCAGCAAAAAAGAATTTGAAGGAAAGTTGGAACAATCAGCTCTTGGAGAAGAAGGAAGGAAACAGTTGGATTTGGGGAATATGGTAGCAAATGAACCAAAGGCCACCAGGACCCTTTCTCCTTGTCTGCTCTCTGCTTCAGCAGGCTACTTCCTTCTAGCCTTGTCACCAACAGCTTCTTAGTTCCGTAGCTAACGACTCTCAACAACATATTTAAATTCAGGACCATACTGTGTCTGTGCAATTAATTTAGTACAACTTCAGAGAATTGTGTGACCCATGATGATGGATCCAGCAAACAGACTGTCCCTTTGGAGAAACTGAGTCCTGTAGTTCAACCAAGCATTCTTAGGAGCCCCATCATGATGGGGAGTGGCAGCTAATCTGTGCGCCCCTCCTCCCTTAGTCACTGTTCAAAATAGTTTGATTTCCATTGGTTTATATATTGCAGTCTTTTATAAGATTTTATTGCAAAATTCTGCAAATAAGAATTCATTTGAAAACTACTGGTCTATGGGAAAATGAAAGTAGGCATGACTGCATTCATAAGATAGTTCCATTAAAAGTTTTTTTTTTGCTTTAGACTCTTTTCAAACATATTCAGTTGTCATTTGTAAGAGGCCAGCTACCTGCAATTCCTTGAAATCAGTTTATACAAGTTTTTGCACAACTCTGTAGTTAAAATATTTTTGCAATTTCAAAATGTTGCTCTGAATTCTCAGGTTGCAGTAACCAGGACAAACAGAATGAAACTGAGGTGAAGAAGATGCATCAGCAAATCTCTAGGGAGCTCAACAAAGCTACTTATTTTAATATGAAATTGGGTGGTTTGATTGCGTTAAGAACAAAATCCAGTAATGACAGCCATCAATGTAAAGTAATGGCTATTCCTGCCATGTCACCATCCCTAGGGCACTGAAACACAGAGGGCTGAAACACAACCCAGATCTTCCTGTGAAAAGAGTCCAATTTGCTTAGCCTGGAGCTTCAGCTTGAGGGATAAGCTTCAGGTTTCCCACCTATCAAGCAAGGCTAAGGAGGCACTCCCAGGGAAAATAAGCATGGAGACCATTCTTGCCCACCTTTGTTGCCTCACTACATCTTGATAAGAATTCCCAAAAATTAGTTATACGGTTGTCTGGGGCCCTGATTTTTTGCAACTGTTGCCCAGGACACACCTCCAGATCTCCTGGTCTGGAGGTCAGCAGAGATTATAATTGTGGCCCCAAAGGACTGTACATACTTGCATATTTTAAAAGCAGCTGTCTAGAGACAACCACAAGCTAGGGCAAGGTTTAATGAGAAAGACAATCACCTACATCAAGGCACTCCTTCAAGACTGAGAGAAGTAGCTGTTTGACTTAATACATAGATACAAACAGAGAATCAAGCAAAAAAAGAAAACAGAGAAATGAGTTCCAAACAAAAGAACAAGAAAAAAACCTCAGAAAAAGACCTTAATAACACAGAGAGAAGTAATTCACCTGATAGAGAATTTAAGGTAATAGTCATAAAGATGCTCACTGAATTCTGGAGAAGAAAGGATGAACACAGTACTTCAATGATGAGAGGAAACAATAAAGTACTAAACAAAACTCACAGAGATAAAGAATATTGAACCGAACTGAAAAATATGTTTAACAACAGACTGGATAAAGTAAAAGAATGGGTCAAAGAGCTGGAAGAGAAAGCAATGGAAGTTACCTGGATGGAGCAGCAAAAATAAAATAAAATAATTTTATAATGGGGATAATTAAGGGATCTCTGAGACAACCTGAAGCAGAATATTCACAATATAGGGGTCCCAGAAGGAGGGGAGAGAAAGAAGAGGGGCAGAAAACTTAAGTAAAGAAACAATAGCCGAAAACTTGCCTAACCTAAGGAGGGCAACAGATCCAAGTATCCCAAAATTTCCAAATAAAATGAATCCATAGAGAACCACACCAAGACACATTATAATTAAAATGTCCAGAGTTAAAGATAAAGAGAGAATCTTACAAGCAGCAAAAGAAAACCAGATTGTTATTTACAAGGGTAACTCCACAAAGCTATAAGAATATTTCTCAGCAAAAATTTTGCAAGCTTAGAAGGGAAGGCATGACATATTCAAAGAACTCAAAAAAAAAAAACAAACAAACAAACAAAAAATTTTCAACCAAGTATATGCTACCCAGCAAGGTTATCATTCAGGTTTGAAGAAGAGATCAATCCACTAAATTGACCTTTCAGGAAGTGTTAAAGGGATTTCTTTAAGCTGAAAAGACATAGCACTACTTAAGAATAAGAAAGCATATGACAGTAAAAATGTCACTGGAAAAGGTAAATATATAATAAAGGTAAGAGATTAGTCACTTATAAAGCTACTAAGATTAAAAGTCAAAAGTAGTCGAATTAACTAAAACTACAATAAATTAGTTCAGAAATATATAAAATAAAAATATATTAAAAGTGACAACAAAAATATAAAATGTTGAGGAGCAACCAGTAAAAATGTAGAGTTTGGGAATGTGTTCAAATTTAAGCTGCTATCGACAAAATTGACTGTCACATACTTAAGGTAATAATGTGAATGTCATGGTAACAACAAAGTAAAAACTTACAGTAAAAACACAAAAGAGAAGAACAAAGGAATCTGAACATAACACTAAAGAAAATTATCAAACAACAAGGAAACTGAGAAAAAGAAGAAAAGAACACAGAGTAACTACAAAAACATCCAGAAAATAATGAACAGAATAGCAATAAATACATACATGTCAATAATTACTTTAAATGTAAATGGACTAATGGGGTGAAAAGACAGAGAGAGAGATCAACGTACTGCTCATACAGTATAAACTATAAGTCATTGATGAAAAAAATTGAAAATGACACAAATGGAAAGATATTCCATGCGCGTGGATTGGAAGATTTAATATTGTTAAAATGCCCATACTACCCAAAACAATTTATAGATTCAGTGCAAATTCCATTAAAATTCCAATGACATTTTTCACACAACTAGAACAAATAATTCTAAAATTTGAAAGACCCCAGACAGCCAAAACAATCTGGAGAAAGAACAAAACCAGAGGTATCATTCTCCCTGATTTCAAACTATACTACAAAGCTATAGTAATTAAAGCAGTATGGTATTGCCATAACAACAGACATATAGATCAATAGAACAAAATAACCCAGAAATAAACCCACACATATGTGGTCAGTTAATTTACAACAAAAGAGACAAGAATATGCAATGAGGAAAGAATGATCTCTTTAATAAATGGTGTTGTGAAAACTGAAGAGCTACCTGCAAAAGATTGAAACTGGACCACTTTCTTACACTATGCAAAAATTAACTCAAAGTGGAGTAAAAACCTGAATGCTAGACCAGAAAACATAAAATTTCTAGAAGAAAATATAGGTGATAGGTGCCTTGACAGTGTTCTTAGCAATTTTTTCTCTTTTTGGATCTGACTCCAAAGGCAAGGGAAACAGAAGCAAAATAAGCAAATGACACCACATCAAACTAAAAATGTTTTTGCACAGAGAAGGAAATGATCAACAAAATGAAAAAGCAACCTACTAAATGGGAGAAGATATTTGTAAATTACATATGTGGTAAGGGATTAATATCCAAAGTATAAAAACAATTTTTATAACTCAATAACAAGGACAAAAATTCAATTAAAAGATGGGCAGCAGATCTGAATAGATGTTTTCACAAAGAAAACATACAGATGGATAACAAATAATGGAAAGATGCTCAACATCACTCATAATCAGGGAAATTCATCACAAGAAGATACTACCACACAGCTGTCAGAACAACTTTATTAAAAAAATCAAGAAACAAAAAGTATTGGCAGGATGTGAAGAAAGGAAACTCCTCATTCGTTGCTGGTGGGAACGTAAACTGGTGCAGCCACTACACAAAACAATATAAAGCTCCCTCAAAGAATAAAAAAAAAATGGAGCCATCTTGGGGTGTCTGGGTGGCTCAGTCAGTTGCATGACTGATTGTTGATTTTGGCTCAGGTCATGATCTTGCAGTTCGTGGGTTCAAATCTCTGTGCTGCCAGCACAGAACCTACTTGGGATTCGTTCTCTCTCCCTCTCTCTGCCCCTCCTCTGTTCTCTCTCTCTGTCTCTCTCTCTCAAAAATAAATAAACTTAAAAAAATAAAAATAGAGCTATCATATAATCCACCAATTGCACTACTGGGTCTCTATCTGAAGAAAACAAAAACACCAATTTGAAAAGATTTTTACCCCTATGTTTGTTGTAGCATTATTTACAATAACAAAAATATGGAAACAACCTAAGTGTCCATCAATGGGTGAATGAATAAAGAAGATGCAGTGTACATATGTATACAATGGAATATTACTCAGCCATAAAAAGAATGAAATCATCGTCACTGACAATGACATAGATGGATCCTGATGGTATTATGTTTAGTAAAATAAGTCAGACAGAGAAAGACAGATATTGCATTGGTTTCACTTACATGTTGAATCCAATAAAACAACGCAAACAAAACAAAACCCAGACTCATAGATACGGAAAACAGATTGTTGGTTGCCAGTGGTAGGGGTGGAAGAGTGAAATAACTGAAGGGATTAAAAAGTACAAACTTCAGGTATAAAATAAATAAGTCGTAGGGATTTAATGTACAGCAGTTGTAATATAGTCAATACTGTATCAATTTCGTATGGTGACAGATGGGGACTAGACTTGTTGTGGTAGCCATTTTGTAACATACATGGATTTCAAATCACTATGTTGTGAAACTTATTATAATATGCTATGTCAATTATACCTCAACAAATTTTTTTTAAGGAAGAAATAAAGCCCCTGAAAATCAGTCAATCACTGTGGTCCTCTTCACCTTTCTCAGCCTCTGTAATGCCTGTGTCAGTAACAGTATTTTTTAATGTGTATTTATTTATTTTGAGAGATGGAGAGGCAGAGAGAGAGGGAGAGAGAGAATACCAAGCAGGCTCCATGCTGTCAGCACAGAGCCTGATGCAGGGCTCAGTTTCAGAACCCCAAGATCATGACCTGACCCAAAATCAAGAGTCAGATGCTGAACTGACTGAGCCACCCAGGAGCCCTTGGATTTCTTTTAAAGGATAACTAAGTTGGTGAGGGGGACTGGATGGCTCAGTCAATTAAGCTTCCCACTCTTGATCTGAGCTCAGGTCTTGATCTCAGGGTCGTGAGTTCAAGCCCAGAATTGGGCTCCACCCTGGGCATGGATCCTACTTAAAACAAACAAAGAAATCTAAGTTAATGTGCTAAAAATTCCTTCAAATCAGTATTTTAGAAGATATAAAGTTGTGGAAATTAGTTTATGTCCAAAGAAATGAAGCGCAAAAGGAACAAAAACACAAATAAATAAGAGTTTTGAATCCAAAAAGTAGGTAAGTGTGTGCAGGGAAGTCCCCAGGTAAGTACCAGGATGTGTGAGCCTACTTATACAGAGGAATCAAAACAATCCACCAACCACAGATTTATATATTGAATCTATTCCGGAGAAATAATGCTTTAATTAGCATATCATCAACATTGAAAAGACAGAAAATAGATCCTGTATATACCCTGAAACCAAAGAACATCATCACTAAAAAAAAAAAAAAAAAAAATTATTCCAACAGCAATGTCTTTAGGAAGATGAATATCTATACTGTAAGACATCATAAGACATCACTGATGCAAATTTGTTCTGAAACATCACATATTATGTATTTTGTGTATGGCTACCCACACCCTAATCCATCACAAATCAACAGCAAATATTAAAACATAAATTACTGAAATTCAGAATATGATTTTCAAGTTCAAGAACTAAATATTTGGTTTGTGGGGATTGTCACTCAAATGCAACATTGTTTAGGAAGCAGCGAACGAACATTCTTTCAAACACAACACAAAATGACAGCCAAGAGTGTTTTAAAGAATTTTGAAAAATTCAAGTGCGTAGCGTAGTGCAAAGGGTCGGCGAGTGATGGTCGAGGAGACCCACATTCAAGTCTTCTCACTTGTTTGGAAACTTAGATTATCTAGAGTTCGCGAGTTTAAGATTTTTAATCTGGGAAACAGAGATAATATTTGTCCTACATAGAGCACAGGATTCTAGAGATAATATCCATAAAATTCCTCTGGGCGTGGGGAGGATAGCATTTAAAATGCTTTCGATTATTCAGGACATAGTAGCACCTGGCACAATGCACTACATAGCACAGGTGATCAATGGGACACTTCACATCCTTTCTTTGGCATTTATTATAGCATTTCTATGAAGCAGTTAACTCGAAAATGTTACGGGAAGATTTATATTAAATCTCAAAGTTGGCCAGTTCATGACATGATAAGCTCATTAAGTTGTTAGACGATAGGAAGCAAAGCCCAGGGTCGCTATCTTGTGGTTCAGAGGTTTTGCCCCATAGCCATAATTCCGTCCATGGCCTGATCAGCTGGTGGAGAAGGTGGCCGTGATGGAGCCCGAGAGGTGGTTAAGCCTGTGTGTGGAGAAAGGGAGCTTGCAGCTCACAGGCCAGCAGCACCGGTGCTTGGAAAGGCATTACGGTTCTAGCACAATTAAGCTCCACTTAGCGGCAGCTTTTTCTCCCCCAAACTCTTTACGGGGTCTTTGTGCGCGACTCCAGGGAGCACTCCCATCTGGCCAGATGAAGAGCGAAGGGATTGTTTCATCAAAAGACAGAGTCTTAGAAAGGGGAAGTAGTGAATAAAAGGCTGAATCCTGAGGATTACAAATGCTTTTGAACTGCCCTGGGAAGATCAGAAGTGAGCACTGGTGGATGCTTTAATGCCTGCCCCATGAGGTGTATCATTTTTTTTAAGAAGGCAGTGGAGGAAGATTTGGGGTGCAGGTACTCTGCTAAGAGGCTTGTGTTAATAAGATCACAGAATTGCAGGTCAGAGATAACAACAACAAACACCAGGTGCATCTGAAATATCAAAGCAAATAAACGTGACATCATGTTCAACTCCGTCTTTGCTGTTATTATCATCCAAAAGGAAAAATCATAGCTCCAAATTAAACCAGCCTAAATCCTCAGGCCATCCATCAAGGATAGTCTTTCCTCTTTCTTTAAGTCATATCTGCTGTGTGTACCAGAAAATTTTTCAAGACAGGCATTCCATTAGCAATGCCCAGGGAGAAATAAGCTATCCTTGGGTGGGTAGAATTTACCTAGAGAAAACTCTAAATTGAGTAACCAACCCCCTAGGTTCTGCCCCCCCCGGAGGACAACTAACATTTCTGGCCACTTGAGACCACAAATTCTGATTGTTTTCTGGGCACGTGGTATTTGGGAAACCGACGCTTCCCACGTGAAGTTGAACATGAACCTCATTGGCCCACAGCCGCCTTGTAAATTGCCTAGGTTGGATCTTTAACGTCAGTTGAAGATCTAAATTAATCCTTAATAACCATGCCGAGATGAGAAAAAAAGGAAAACACTTAAGTTGGAGTAGGGAGTTTTAGATTTAGGTTTAGTAGGCGGTTTAATCGCCCTTGTCCACAGCACTCGATCACTTGTTTCTGGGTGGCCCGTGTGTATCTGGCTCTGTCATTTCACACCACTGACTTCACTTAGACATATTCCTGACAAGAACAAACTCCTTCCTAAAGCAATTCAGTTAAGACAACTTCTCAAAGTGCCTGACCCCAGGGAAGAGCATAATATCCCAAGCAATTGACTCACAAATTTTGGAATACTAAAAATATAATACTAAAAATACTAAAAATAATACTAAAAATAAGATGAAAAAAATTTCTTAATTGAACATGCAAACTCAGAAAATATACAGACGAGCTTCAGGTTTTCTGGATGATTGTAATCTTTCTCACCTTATCTATTTCAGCCTTTCTTCTAATCCCAAGGTAAGTAGTATGTATTCAGTAAGTAGTATGTATTCAGTAAGTAGTAGTAAGTAGTATGTATTCAGTAAGTAGTAAGTATTCAGTAAGTAGTATGAAAATTCACAAAAATACTTGAGACTAATATTTGATCCACAATATCCTAGAAGCCTCATGGGCATATCCTTTTTTGATCTTTCCAAAAAGTGTACATACAAGTGTGTAATAGTACCTAATATGTAATATGTGTAAAAGGACATGAGCTTTTTTCCTTCCTAGGAAATTGTCCTTTGTTTCCTTATTCCAGGCTTTCAATTAAGGTATAAGACTCCAGAAGTAGAACATGTAGACCTGGCTGAAAGGAGAAAAAAAATTCACAACTTTTCTGAAGTATTACTTCATGATGGATACAAATATGGATGCCAGAAACAGACAGTCTGGATTCAAAGCTGTGCACTTATTGGCAATGTTATTTTGGCTAATTCACTCCATCTCCTTATTTGCCTCACCTATAAAACAGGGAAAATGATGATAATTGTAGCATCTATCCCATTAGTTTGTTGTGAGAACAAGGTGAGCCCTTCCATCCAGAGGACTGAGAACATTTCCTGGAACCTAGTAATTTGCAAGCACTCAGTAAATACTTCAGTTCAAATGTCATCGTTACAAATTTTTTATTCCTAAGCTTCCTTTTAAAATATAGACTGTGATAGAAACAATAGTGATTGTTGGGGCGCCTGGGTGGTTCAGTCAGTTGAGTGTCTGACTCTTGACTTCCGCTTAGGGTCATGGGATCAAGCCCCCATCTGGCTCATCGGGCCCTGCACTGTGTGGAGCCTGCTTAAAATTCTCTCTCTCTCTCCCTTTGCCCCTCTCCCCAGCTTGTGATCTCTCTCTCTCTTCTGTCTCCAAAATAAAATTTAGGGGTGCCTGGGTGGCTCAGTCATTTAAGCCTCCAACTCTTGATTTCGGCTCAGGTCATGATCTCACAGTTCATGAGCTTGAGCCCCGCATCAGGCTCTGCACTGACAGGGCTAAGCCTTCTTGGGATTCTATCTTTCTGCCCCTTCCTCTCTCTCTCTCTCTCTCTCTCTCTCTTTCTCTTTCTCTCTCTTTCTCAAATAAACTCAAAAAAATAAATAAGTAAAAAGTAAAATAAAATTTTAAAAAGACAATAGCAATTGTGAATGTTGTGGTATTCATCTAAACATTAAAAACTTAACCATTCATTTGGTTAGATGGTGGTCCAGTATTTAGAAATGAAAACTGACTTTAAAGTCAGTCTTGAGAGTAAGGCAGAAAGTTGATTCTATAAACCTATACTATTTAGTCAGGAAAGTGGAAAATTAAGATGATGCAAGTAATTCATATGGGAAAAGGCAGGGATGGAGGACAATCTTTTCATTTCCATTTCCTGGCCGGGGCCAAATTGTCTGAACACTTAAAACCCAAAGTCACTTGCTGTATGCAGATATGGACTTTGAAAACGGCTGATTATCTAAAAACTGGATTCAGTGACGCTGGTAAAATTCATTTCATCAACATTAGAAAACCCAGGCTACGTAATTTATATAAATGCATCAAGACAGTTTCTGAACAGACTTCATGGCAGCCTTGATCAGGCCAAATAAAACGCAGTACAATCAGCACGTTTTCTAATCACCCTGCCAGAGCTGGAAAGAGTCTTGTAGACTGATTAACTAAAGTCTTCAACAGCTTAAAGAAGTCTGATTCGGATGTAATAAAAATTTATTGGCATTACTGATTTCACAAACGTCAGCTGCTTTAGCATGTCCCACACTTCAAACCCTGCTTTGAAGACCAAATTACTTTCTACCTGTAAATATATTTTAAGAAATCATAGTTAATAATCAGGGACTGCTGTTTTCATGGTCTTTCCAAAGCCAACTCTACGGCTTTCATCTTACCTTCTTGTGTAATTCACGGTCTTCTTTTAAGAGATTGAGATCACAGTCCATAGGGCAGGGACCAAATTTATTAGAAATGCTTCCTAGGGTTAAAAACAAAAGGTGGGAAAATGTATCACAGATTTTCACTTCAGAGGCCATGTAAGCTTATACTACTGTAATCTAAGAATGTATATAAAGCCCGACAAATGGGGATAAATTCAAGAACTGTAAGGAGGCTCTAAGATGTTCTATCCTCCCAATTTTAATGCAGTCGATGTATGAACCTCAAGTAGAACTCTACCAGTGGTCACCCCACGGGGGATGCAATTTACCAGCATCAGTCTGATCCGTTTTCCTACCCACATCCGGGTAGGATTCTCCATTATCAGCTAGTTTTTCTGGGATCGAGTTTTCAAAGACACTCCTCTGCACCTCATACCAGTGTTCCAATATAAAACCTTGAGGCTAAAAAGTTCTGTTCCCATCTGTACCCAGGATTTGCCACCTGAGCTAACTTTTTCATATGATGCATGACTTATCCTGGAGTTTCTCAACCTCAGCACTATTTTGGATTGGATCATTCTTCGTTATGAGGGCTGCCCCGTGTTTTCTAAACTGTTTAGCAGCATTTTTGGCCTCTACCTACTGGATGCCCGCAGTACCTTCCACCCCTCCATCCCTCCCCCACTTGCTGCAACCAAAAATGTCTCCGGGTGTTGCCAAATGCCTCCTGGGGAGCAAGACATCACCAGTTGAGAACTGCTGCTCCAGAACCATAACTCTTCGCAAACAAACCAAAGTAACAACAACGACAACAACAATAAAACTCTCTGCAGACAATGTGCCTTGTTCATCTTGTTTCTTCTGCAGTGTTTAACACAGGATCTGAAAGAGTGTGAGTTGGAGACTATTTCTTAAATTACCGATCATTCCCGTAAGGTTGACCCAATAACTTTTTTTTTTTTTTTTGAGTATACACGCATCATACACCACAAGCAGCCAAAGGATTACTGCTTGTCCTCCTCTCCCATTCCAGGGACTAAATATTTTCATCCTGGCCTTTGGAATTGCCCTTGTGGACGTTTTTTTAAGGAGGTTTCCATAGTGCAAATATTTTTGGACATCATCTCCGTGTCTATATGCTTTAAAAAAAATTTCTTCTCCCTAGAGATGACCCAGCCGGCCTCTTCTCCCCAGTCAAGGTCTTTGTGGCTCATGCATTTTTGAGCAGCAAGGTTTTATTGTATTTTCTGACTCTGTTCCCAGTACACGATGCTAAACTGAAGGCAGATACCAAAAAACGTCCTTCTTCAGGGAGAGTCAAATGGTTAAGTGCCCCTTGTGTCAGAAGCCTGGCACTTTAGTCTATTGGGATGAGGGTCATGTAAACCTTTAAAAGAGCTTCCTTATTTTGAGTCTAAACAGAATTCATTGATAGTGTGTTTGGTGTGGTCAAAATCGAGATAAGAAAGCAAGCAAGGAAATGGTTTCACACTTTAAATATATTATTATTTTATTTTTTAATTATATTTTTTATTTGAGGGGGAAGGGCAGAGGGAGAGAGAGAGAGAGAGAGAGAGAGAGAGAGTCTTAAGCAGGCTCCAAACTCAGTGTGGAGCCCGAAACCAGGCTCAATCCCACCACCTTGAGATCATGATATGAGCTGCCACTGAGGATCAGACCCTCAAATGACTGAGCCAGCCACATGTCCCAAATACATCATTACTTTCAAAGGCTTATAATCTAAATTCTCAGTGCACAGTTGGTGGGTGGAATATAAAAATATGAAATAATAGAATAAACTTTTAGCGTTTTTGAAGAGCTTCATATATATTATGATGTTTACCACACACACCACACACACACACACACACACACACACACTCACACAAAAGTGTTACAGACTTGGAAACTGAGACTCAGATCAAAGAACTTGCACAACTCAGACAGCTAACCAGTAAAAAGTCTGAAATCTAGGTCCAATTCTATTTGTTCTCAAAGCCCACGCATCTACCCCTTGTTTCACACCTTGTGGGAGAACCGTACCCCATTTTCTACCTCTACACTTTTTTAAACATTGAACAATACATGCATTTTTTATTGCTGCTGGAACACATTTCCACAACTTAGCGACTTACTACTCATATATTCGCTTACATCTTTTGCAGGTCAGAAATCCGAGCATAGCACGGCCCAGCTGGTTCTGCTTCTTCAAATCTTACCAGGTCAAAGTCAATGTTATCAGGCAGGGCTGCAGTTCTCATCTGGGTCTTGGGATCCTGTTGTGAGCTTGCTGGTTGCTGGTAGAGTTTTCTTCCTTCTCACGCATTCCTCGCAGTTTCCTCTGAGCCAACAACCGCAGGATGCATCCTGATGCTTTGAACGTCTCCAGCTTCTCCTTCGGCTTCCTCTTCTGCTTACCCACCTGAGAAAGTTCTGTCCTTTAAAGGTTCGTGTAATTAGATTCGGTTCACCCAGGTCATCTCCCTCCTGATGATCAGCTTCTGGGGATAAGTCCTTGGACATTTTTGGGAAGCCATCTTAAAAATTCTGCCAACCAGGAGCAATTTCTGATGCAACGGAATTTGTATTGCTGTATGTTAAAATGTAGTAATACTGTGTGTGTCCAGGTGATAAAGTCCCTACCAAAGAGACAGTCTTCTAAAAGGCTTAATTAAACAATTTCTTTGTTTTTATGTAAAATGTTTTTTGCTCTATAACCTACCTTCCTATTTGTAAAGACGTATATAGTAAATACGTATACGTTAATAATCATTAATGTACACTTCATGTAATTGTATACCTTATGTAACAAATGTTATACATTTTATAAATATGTACATAATATAATTTTTATAAGATTATGATCATAGTGTATATACCATTCTCATCCTTTTTTATACTTACATTGTTTCTTGTTATTAAATATTCTTTCAAGCCTGATTTTTAATCGCTTCGCAGCAGTATATCATTTTTTTTTCACTTAAACCAACCACCCCTTGGTTGTATATTCACATCATATTGAACAAATTTCACAAAAAATCTTTACACTTCTCTGTGCTTATTTTCACAGGTGAGTATCTAAGATCAGGAATACTAAATCAAACACAGGATTCACGGTAAGAACTATCAATATTCTAACTGCAGCCAGCAATGTATGAGAGTGTCCAATTCACTCACATGCTTGCCAAAACGGACTCCCACCATATTTTTCAGTTTTGCCTACTTGGTAGACAAAATAATAACATTTCGTTGTTATTTTATTTTATTTTATTTTTTATAGTTTTTTTTAATATTTATTTATTTTTGAGAGAAATAGACACAGAGCACAAGCAGGGGAGGGGGCAGACAAAGAGGGAGACACAGAATCGGAAGCAGGCTCCAGGCTCTGAGCTGTCAGCACAGAGCCCCACACGGGGATTGAACTCACAAACCGTGAGATCATGACCTGAGCCAAAGTCGGATGCTTAACTGACAGAGCCACCAGGCACCCCTCATTGTTATTTCAATTTGCAATCTCTAATTCTAAAAAAAATGTGAATTATTTTATGCTTGTTGAGCATGTATGTCTTTTGTGTTGTAACTTACTATTCCTTCATTTTTTTTCAGCTGGAGTATTTAACATTTTCTTTAGAATTTGTATCTTTCCATGTCGTATTTATCTTTGCCTGGCACACTGGTTCCAATAGTTTTTCTGTTCGTAGTTTGCCTGCTAATGTCTTTGACAGTTGTGTCTGTGTATGTGTGTGTGTGTGTGTGTGTGTGTGTGTGCGCGCGTATGAGGTGGTTTTCAATCTTATATAATCATGAGTATCAATGTTTTGCTTTATTGCTTCTCTTTTTGCTTATAAGCTTACAAATTTTTTCCACACTATATAGTCAAATGAAGTGCATAGAAATAAACTGTAAGTAAATAAGGAACTCGTGAGGTTCTGGCATGATTGTCTTTCATACTCCCCCACTGCCATTCGGGTAAACAATGGTGACACTAGGAAGTCCTCCTTCCACCCCAGGGTGAGACATACAAACAAAACCAAAAATCATTTCTCTCGAAGGACTCCTTCCCTTTGTTTCCTATTTCTTTTCACCACTTCGCTAAGCCACCCAGACTCAAAATCTCCTCCATGACTTTTCCTTCCCTACTGTGACTCACAGCTAATCATTTGCCACTGTCTTCTACCTTGTTAAGAAGATTTTAGGGGCGCCTGGGTGGCGCAGTCGGTTAAGCGTCCGACTTCAGCCAGGTCATGATCTCGCGGTCCGTGAGTTCGAGCCCCGCGTCAGGCTCTGGGCTGATGGCTCAGAGCCTGGATCCTGTTTCCGATTCTGTGTCTCCCTCTCTCTCTCTGCCCCTCCCCCGTTCATGCTCTGTCTCTCTCTGTCCCAAAAATAAATAAACGTTGAAAAAAAAATTAAAAAAAAAAAAAAAGAAGATTTTATAGCCATTCCTTCCTCTTTTCAGCCGTATGTTTCATCACTTTCCCAAATGCAAATGTATAAGCAAATCGATAGACGGACAGATACACAGATAAGTGGGGAGTTTTAACTGAAACAGAATCATGCCATATACTTTTGTCCACAAGTTTTTTTTTTTTTTTCATATAATAAGAAATCATGGTCATCTCTATGAGTCATAAAATACACGTCTAACAGTATGTTACTTCAAATGAATTTTCCCCAGGGTGCCTGGGTGTCTCAGTCGGTTAAGCGTCTGACTTCAGCTCAGGTCATGATCTCACAGTTTGTGACTTCAAGCCCTCCCGTCGGGCTCTATGCTGACAGCTCGGAGCCCGGAGCCTGCTTCCGATTGATTCTGTGTCTTCCTGTCTCTCTCTCTCTCTCTCTCTCTCTCTCTGCCCCCTTCCCTGCTCACACTCTCTCTGTCTCTCAAAAAGTGAATAAACGTTAAAATTTTTTTAAATGAAAATTTCCCCTTGATCCTCCTTCATATCTTCCATCCACAGTCCCCTAACACCTTTCCATCCCGCCCACTCCACATAACACGTTTTAGCCTCTCTGTGCTCATTTAACCAGATCTATACATACACACACATATGTGAACACAGGGACAACACATTGATAGAGGTGATGTTCATTGTTACACAAAAAGCATTTTATATCTTGTATATACCTGCCTATACCCTTTCTCAACAGTATCTGATGGAATTCTCTTCAAGTCAATTATTAGAGCTCTAATTTGTTATATTCGATGGCTGCATAATATGTTAACACTGCAGATGTCGCTTGATTTATTTAACCATTCCCTACTGATGACATTCATTTTTCTTCATTTTTATACTTTATTTATTTATTTATTTATTTATTTATTTATTTATTTAAGAGAGAGAGAGTGCATGTGTGAATGGGGGAGGGGCAGAAAGAATTGAAAGCAGGCTCTACACTCAATGTAGAGCCTGAAGCAGTCCCATGACCCTAAGATCATGACCTGAGCCGAAATCAAGAGTTGGATGCTCAGCTGTCTGAGCCACCCAGGTGCCTTTATTTTTATATTCTTACCAAAAAGAATGTGACAGTAAAATCCATTACTCGTGCTTTTATTCCTGTGGATGGGTTTCCAAGGTGAGATTGCTGGGTCAATGAGTGCTCATATTTTAAATGCTAATAGATGTTGTCAGATTGCTTTCCAAAAGCTTGCATATGTGTGTGTGTGTGTGTGTGTGTGTATACATATATGTATATATTTCCATAGCAATTTATAAGAAAATCTATTTTTCTAAATCCTTGCCACCAGTAGATCACCTTTGAATTATTAATTCATAACATTATTCTATGATGATCAGAGACAGTGGCCTCTATTATTGTATTTCACATATGTCTGTCATAGATACAAAGCCTAACAAGAT